AATAATAATTTATTATTATTATTATTATTATTATTATTAACCATTCCACAGAAAAGAAAGAGTTAATGTTTCAGCGCTCCTCTACTCGCGTCTTTACGGTAGCGGTGCTCTTCCAATCCCGCAGCACTTGTCCTGCCTGCGGTCACATCTTGTTGCCAGAACTTCAATGACGCGGTGACACTGGATTTCTTTGTTATTCATTCACGCTCTGCGGCTTTTCCTTCATTAAATCGCGTTTATTTTGCAAAGCATCTCACCGGGGCCCACACCCAGTGTTGCCGCATTCCGTATCCATCCTCGCAGGCCATTTGGAGTCGCTTTTGGATGTTTTGTTGCGGATCTATGAGCCGTAGTTAAGACCTCTGTAAGGATAAGATTCCTATTTAGAAACTGTTAGATAATAACGTCGTGTGGTACGTTTGTTGTACGTTTAACAGCTGCTTCTTGTTATTTATCCAATCGTTGTCTTCTGTTGTGGCGAGACATTTTCCGTCCGTGTTCATGCCAGATCTGCAGCGCTTTAGTTTTCCATATCATAGCATGAATCCTTTGTTGGGGGCCAACACGCATCTCCAACACCAGCCACAGCCGATCCAAACGCCCGGACATCTGGACTCTCCCTCAGGCCTCCTGCCCGACCTCGTCTTTAGTGGACGGGACCCGGCGGCCTTCGTGCTGGATGAGCAGCCTGATCAGTCTGGGCCTGACCTCGCCGCACCCTCACAGACCTCACCCTACCTCCACCACAATCACAGCAGCCACTACCAGCACCGCGCTGTGCCGCATCCACCTGCAGCCATGGCACTCAGAAACGACCTAGGATCCAACATCAGTGTGCTCAAAACTCTCAATCTGCGGTTTAGATGCTTTTTGGCCAAAGTGCACGAGTTAGAGCGCAGGAATAAGATTTTAGAGAAGCAGCTGCAACAGGCGCTGGATGCCAACAAAGGTAGTCAAGGGGGATGCTGTGAGAATAGGGCTCATACCCAGGAAGCAGGTGTGCAGACTGGATTTGTTGGTACTATACCGCTCAGGCCTGGCTCCCTCCCCTTCCTCAACACCAACAACTCAGCCAGGAGGCCTACAACACTCTTCACACCACCACTCACATCATCCTTCTCACCTGCAGCTGCTGAGAACACCAGTTCAACAACTAACCCATCCATCATTATTAGCCAGTCCTCTCCCTGCATGGACTCCCCTGGTGCTGGCTCTAGAACTGTCTCCAATGGCACCATGGGCCCAGGCTGCTCTACCAACCCTCCTCCACGGTTCCTCCCGGGCACCATCTGGTCCTTCAACCACACCCGCAAGTTTGGCACCGGTGTGGAGCGTCTGACCAGCCCAGGAGTGTCCTGGGTGCACCCAGATGGAGTTGGTGTCCAGATTGACACCATCACCCCAGAGATCAGAGCCCTCTATAATGTCTTGGCCAAAGTGAAGAGGGAGAGAGATGAGTATAAACGCAGGTAATGGAATAAAACCTTTTATTTTTCCACTTTTAACAAGGTCTACAGGGACATTTCTACAGAGCATGGGGTTGTGCTTTAGTTTTTTTTTCTTGCTCTGCTTTGGAAGAGTGAGCTGAGCTGTGTTGTACCTGGTACTTTTTTACCATACTGACTCTGAGAGATGAGGCAGTCCAAGTAACTTCAAAACAGTGCTGATTTATTCAAAGGATCACAGGTAAAATTAACATTACACGCTCAGGTA